ACGACGAGTGTAAGGAAAATGGCAGGACCGTCGAAGATGATTGAGTAGACATCAATGGTGACCTAAGAGACCGCGGCGAGCGTGAAGGCGTCGCCGGCCAGTGGAGTCTCGGTGAGATGTCCTCACACAGTAGAGATCACAACGCCGACATCCTGAGAGCCTGGCGTCGGTGCGATGGTGCCGGCACAACGGCAAACTTTGACGGGGTGGCACTCGGCGGACAGTGTCACCAGCAGCTTGACGGGGACGGCGAGCGTCTGGGCGTTGCCGATAAGGTGGACGAGATGCCTCCCGGTTGACGATGGGGCTGCTCCATCAGGATGGCGTGGGTGGCTACCGGTGTGATGAGGATATGTTGTTCACGGACGCGGGCAGCTCAGCGGAGTCTGTGTCGTTCTCGACAAGAACTTCTGGATCAACATGACTTGGCGGCGTCCGCGGCTGCTCCGACGATCTCCGGCGCGCCCCGACGGAGTGGCGTCACGATGGTCTTCTCTGGCGGACGGGTGTTGGTGGTGTCACAGCGTTGGGTACGGTAGTGACACTACCAGTGGCTTGAACGGGTGACGTCAATCTCGACGGAGGCTTGCGGGTGACGTGAATAGATCGGCTGGCCCAGTGACCCCGGGCGACGGCAATACACCCGACTTCTCCCTGGCCATGACAACAGATTGGAACGACATCGCCTCGCTCCTTCCTGGCACATGTCTCCTCCTTGGCGTGCGCGTCCTCACGCCGGACGCTGGGGTGTGCTGCAGCCGTGGTAACCTGGCCACCGAGCGCACACTTCCTGTCTTAGACGCCGAGGTGCAGCAGTGAGGTCGCCGGCTGCCGAGGTCAAACGCCGTTGCTTGCCGTCGGAAGGTCGCTTCGTGGGGGCCGGTAGATGGATGCTGGCCGTCGGCGCGTGCGCGTACGACGTAGATGGCTTTCTCCTCCTTTGGCCTCGGCCTCCCTGCCGGGCCGAGCGCCGGTGAGGCTGTGCACGCCCGCCCGCCGCGCTGGAGGCTTCTCTGCTATTTGATATATGCTGTGGATGAGATGGGATCGGAGTAGATGAATATGGATGCCGATCGCCTGGCGCCGTCTCCTGGGTGGCTGCATGTACCCTCGCCGAGCGTCAGATGCTGCCGGCCGGCAGCCACCGGTGGCGCACACGTTGGTGTGGCGTCGTCGGCCAGCGCGTCCTCCGGCCACCGGCCAACTCCACATCATGGCTTCTTCTCCTTTGTCTGTGCTCCATGATCAATCTGTAAAAAGACAATAACAAACAAAAGGATGGAGCTGTACTCGCCGACGAATGGATGTGTATTGATGCCGATGTTGACGAGTAGTCTACAGGCTGCCGGAGCAACGCGCCGATGGTTTTCCCCTCCGTGATCAATCTATGGTAGTAGATCGGACTGACACCAGCTCGCCGGACGCCGATGATGTGCGCTGATGCCGCCTCTCGGCGATCTGCCCCTCCCGAGGGACACCGGCGTACGTGATACTGCTTCGCCGCCGGCCGGTGTGTTGTCGATGGATATGAGTTGAAGATGGCTGGGCAGAGACAGATGGATGCCGATGGATAGAACTGTGTGTTGATAGATTGATCTCGATGGGAGTTGATTGATTGTCCATGGCCTCTGGCTGGCTGGCTCTCGGTGGCTTTTATAGGCGCTAGGAAAACCTAACGGATGGGCGCGTATACTCCAGCGCCGCCGGGGCCACACGCGTTGGTTCGCTCCGAAGCCTCCGGCGACGTTGCTGCAGATCACTTTCATCCGAATCACCTGGATAAGGCGGAGTTTGTTGCTTGGGTTTATCCGGCGCCAGCCGCGCACATCAGTAGCTTGCGGTTGAGATATCCCGCGTACGCGTGTATTCTGATATACAATCGCATATATACGATGAGAACGAAATGTGGCCATGGGCTGCCGGCCCACGGGCAGCTTCACATTTCCACCGTACGTGTAGCTAGCTGTTGCTTCTTAACTCAGAAATCACGCGGTATTTCTATACGTATACATGCATGTACGGTGAATACATATATAGCGCTCGTGTATGAGCTGCTCACATGTCACTCAAGTCTCCTTGTGCATGCATGCATACGTACAGATTAGCCAAGCATGTATATATATGGCTGAACACACACATGGATATAGCCATATATAGATGGACATATATATGTAGTACGTGCATGGCTCATGCATCCCATGCAATTGAGCAAGCTATATACAGTCTCACATATTAACGAATGCGACGATCATAGCAGCTCCTTTGTTTGCTTGTCTTGATAATACAAATACTCCTTGGATTTATAAGATCACAAAATACCGTCAAACACTACAACTTATTGGCTCTTGTGTAAGGTCAAATTAAGCGGTAGAGAACCCGCTGGGACCAAGAGTGAGGGAGGCTTCTCTCCCAAAGAAGCTAGTGCTAGAGTTAGGGGATGAAATCGGGGAACAGATGCAGATTGCCCTACCCATTTCTTATTGCCTACCTTATAAAGGATCCCAACATACAATGCGGATGCTTGAGATAGGATCTCGTCTCCTAGCATTCCGAAACACGTGGCGTTAAGTTCCAGGCCAACCAAAACAGGCCGCGAGTGGTCGAGGTACCTCTTGAGAGCGTTGTCGAGGTGCCTCCCTTCCCTCTTCAAAGGGATCCTCTAGGTGAAAATCTTATCCTTTTGGGATGAGCGATGACAGCATTTTTAATGTTGTGATCTTATTGAAGGCGTCGTTTTAGAGGTGGCTGTGTATTCCTCAGGGTGTGGTGGTGTGTGGGCACGTGGCGTGGTGTGTTTTCTCTTTTATCGTGAGTATAGCCTCCTAGTGCTATAATCTTGTATTAATTTGCTTCTCTCAAAGTCTTAATACAATGATGCACAACTCTTTTGCGTATTCTTGGGAAAAAAAAACAGGGCGCGAGTTGGGACCTATCTCGTCTAGCCAGCTACTCCCTCCGTCCCATAAAAAATGAATATATGACCAGATATGAATATTCTAGTACGATGAATCTGGAATAATGTATGTTCAGATTCGTAGTATTAGGATGTATCACATCCGATATTAGGTTGGTTTTTTATGAGACGGAGGAAGTATACAATACAGGACGCCCTTGCATCATAATCCTGTTCCGGCCTGCCCAAGTAGAAAGGGCCTCACGTAGACGGTAATCCCGTTCCGTCCCAAGTATAGCAGGCCGTACATGCGTGGCAATCCCGTTCCGTTCCGGCCCAACGAGAAAATGTGGACTTAAACCGCAGTGCCGTAACCCGTTAAAGACACAGCCAGATCTCTAGTCGACACACGCCGGCCGACCTCCATCTCTGCAGTGCCAACTGCCATGAGATGAGAGTAGCAACCGTCTTCAAGCTGGACAACACACGAACACTAGGGGGGAAATGGAAAATGGAACTCACCTTTTGACCGAAGACTAGTAGACAGACATCCTTCGGACATTCCATTTGAAGGCAAAGACATTCGGCGAGCGATGAATTATTTTACCTCGACTCGAGGTACATGCTTTCATCAACAGTTCAAAAAGATACTACTCTACTCCGTAGCATCGGTTTCCTTCTCGAGAAACGACTCGTCACATGCTGACATTGCCATTGGGTACCGTGGCTTTTGCTGGCCGCACAACAATGATAGTTAGTACTCTCTCCGTCCTAAAATAAGTACAGTTTTACGCTATTTATGTCTAACATTTAACTATTTGTCTTATTTGAAATTTTTTTATGATTACTATTTTATATTTTTATTGTTATTAGATAATAAAACATAAATAGTACTTTATGTGTGACTATTTTTTTAAATTTTTTTATAAATTTTTCAAATAAGACGGATGGTTAAACTTTTGAGGTAGTACATGCTCTCACACAGATGCAGCTGTACCTCAAGAGTCAAGGAGTCAAGACAGGATTACCATTCTCCATTTTTACATTTTCAGAAAGTTACACCAAATGATTCGTTCGAAAAATAAAAAAGAAAGTTACACCAAATGATGAGGATGGCAATGGTTTGGTTCGACTCCACTTGTCCATTAAACTGATATATAAATTTACTCTAATGAAATTTTAGGTTCACTCTAAAATTTATGTCTAAAATGTTCAATCTAAAACAGCTTCACATGTATAAATGGTCTAAATTTGTGCAAATTTGCTTCTCTATATAATAAATCATTTCTATAAAAATGAACTGAATTTAATAGGTTTTTATATTATGAACACTGATTTAAAATTTTTGGTCCAAGTTTTATGCACGTGTAGTAAATTTTCTCTCGGTCTATTACTCTGTATAATAATCATTTCTATGAAAATTAACTGAACTTGAAAAATTTTTATAGCCTGAAAATGAGTTTAAGAATTTTTGTCCCAGTTTTATATTGAAAATTACTTGATCTATTAGTAATATATAGTTGATTCATTTGGATGTCTATGATAACCTATCAATATAATGCATGATCTCGTGGTGGATTGATCATTATAGATCATGAATCTAGAAAAAATAGTTTAGGCTCGATCCTACTCCTCCATCCTATAAAAGACGAATCTAGAGCTGGATATAACACCTACCCTCGTCTCAAGAAAAAAAGTCCAATTCTAGCTACGAATCTGGACACATGCGTATCCAGATTTGTAGCTAGAATTTATTTTTTTAAGATAGAGTAGTATGTTCAAATTTATTATATTATGTTGTGTTACATCTCATGTTAGATTGGGTTTCATGGGATGACGGAGTATTAACCATTCCAATCCTGACGGAATGAACTCTGCTCCATTATCCTCGCAGAAACCTTTCCCGTATTTGCTCTGGAGGCTGGACTTCCACTTTCTGCAGAGTGCAGATGTGCCTAACACTGGCACTGTATTCAATCCCCGTGTTCACTGTTCAATTCACCACCACTGCACGTCTTAACGTGCGGCATCAATGGCAGGCGTTGCGTTGATGACGAGATCCTGGCGTACGCACGCACTAGATGATACCCAAGGGGAAAAAGAGAGGACACACGAGCTCACACAAGAGACGCGGCCCGGCGTGGAAACCGAACGGGGGCCGCCCACTCTGCGTTTTGCATCGGCAGAGGCGCGGTGGAGAAAAAAAAAGGCCGAGCTTGGATGGAAAGCTCCAAGCTTTTGCGCTGTTCGCTTGCCTGAGCCCCCCGTCCCGTCCCGTCCCCTCGCCTCGGCAAGAACAAAGAGCATGCGAGATTAGATCGAGACGGCGTATCCGGTAAGCGCTGTTCCATCTCCGGCACAAAAGGGTGAGTTCTTGGGTGGTTGGTTTGGTTATGTGTGTTCTTCTGCAGCTCGTGTGGTTTTATCTGTATCTCGTTTTCGCGCTCTCGTTAGGATGGCGAATGGGGGTGTCTGCCTCTCGTGCTCTGCACTTGTCTGCGCGCTGGTGTTTCTCACGGTGGATGGTGATTTCGTGGACATTACTTACGTAGCGAGCGCTGTGGCCAAAGGCGCAGGTGTGGATGCAGCTGCTTCTCTGTCATTACTTGTTCATTCATACTGTATTAGTATCTCTTTTTCTCTCTCTCTCTTTCCTGAATTAGTATCTCGTTGTGCTAATGTGCATTCGATGGTGTGTGGTGTGATGTGCTAGTCTGTTTGGATGGGAGCCCCCCGGCCTACCATCTCGCCCGGGGTTTTGGCTCCGGCGTGAATAGTTGGCTGGTTCATTTCGAGGTTAGTTCTTGTGAGGATAGCAGTGCAATTGTGCTACTGGAGCCTAGAACTCTACTACAAATGTTTGCCCGGCTCAATTTTCTGTGTCTTTCTTGCAAATGTTAGGGAGGAGGATGGTGCAGCAATGTGACGACCTGCCTGCAACGCAAACGCACTCGGTTAGGATCATCGAAGCAGATGGCAAAGCAGATTGCCTTCTCTGGAATACTGAGCAACACCCCTGATTACAACCCGGGTACTGTATTTCACTAGTTGTTTGAAGGAAATAATATTTTGTACTATGTTGTCCTAGTTCTCTACCACCTCAGGAATTGGACTGCCTAGGCTCCATGTTACTACTTACTTTTTTTTTAAGATAATGTTACTACTTACTACTTCCTCCGTTTCACAATGTAAGACTTTCTAGAATTGTCCACATTCATATAGATGTTAATGAATCACAATGTAAGACTTTCTAGATTCATTAACATCTATATATGAATGTGGACAATGCTAGAAAGTCTTATAATATGAAACGGAGGGAGTAGTATAGTTCACATGCTTGATCGATTCCTGTGCAATCATCAAAACCAGATTTCTACAATTGGAACAAGGTCAAGGTTCGGTACTGTGATGGGTCATCTTTCACCGGCGATGTGGAAAAAGTAGATCCTGTGAGTCCATAGTCCATTCTTTCTTGATTTTACAGTTACAAATTGTATGAGGATTAGTGCTGCTCCAGTGTTAAGTTTCTCTTTGATTTTGTTCCATATGGATAGGCAACAAAGCTTCACTACAGAGGTGCTAGGGTGTGGCAAGCAGTTATGGATGATCTGCTTGCGAAAGGAATGAACAGTGCCAATAATGTATGTTATTCTTATGAGCATAATTCTTGACAACAAGAAGGTTTTCAAGACTAACGAATTTATGGCAGGCTCTAATTTCGGGCTGTTCTGCTGGTGGTTTAACTTCCATACTACACTGTGACAGATTTCGTGACCTTTTCCCAGTGGATACCAAAGTTAAATGCCTTTCTGATGCTGGTTTCTTCATCAATGAGTAAGACAATACTAGTACAAAAGGCAGTTGAAGGAAAAATTAAATGCATTATGTATTTTTTTCCACATTAAGGATGTACTAGCCATTTTAATATGAAGGACAAACCATTAGTATATTAACTTAGAACAAAAAAACACCATTTCTGAACATTGAGTTCATGTCTAACACCTATCCCATCTTTGTGTTAGCAGGAAGGATATTGCTGGAGTGGAGTACATTGTGGCCTTTTTCAATGGCGTAGCTACAACCCATGTATGCACATACAGTCATTACTCTGTTATACTAGTAGATAGTCAAGGATTCTACACACATGCACCCCCCCCCCCTCCCCCCCCAAAAAAAAACTTACCTGGTATGTAAATTACAAATTAGGATCAGAATTTAACAGAGTGAAAAGCAAACCATCATTTTCCAAAGTTCTATTTCACATATATTTGCATTGTTTTCTCCTATACCTAAATACATTTTGTACAAATGTGCTAGGGATCAGCGAAGAATTTACCTTCTGCTTGCACCTCCAGATTGTCCCCAGGCATGGTAAGGTGTAAGCTTCAGGCAGTTTTACAATACGAATTTAGACAACAGATTACACTTGAATACTTGTTAAAAACATGTTGCTTTGAATGCAGTGCTTTTTTCCTCAGAATGAGGTGAAACAGATTCAGACACCTTTGTTCATTCTCAACGCAGCGTATGATTCCTGGCAGGTTATCATCTGATCCACGTTCTGCAATACTTCTATGATTATGATCCTTTTAGTGTTGCCCTTAGATAAATATGCTTTGTAGTGGCATATGTTTTGGCATTGTGGCTGTGTACATCCGATTTGGATGTAGAGGCCAGACTTTAATCCATTTTCTAAAAATATGTTTTGGCATTAATTTAGGTCTCGTGTGTTACAGGTAAGGAACATCTTGGTGCCAGGATTTGCAGACCCTCATGGTAAATGGCATAGCTGTAAGCATGATATAGATCAATGTCCTGCATCGCAACTTCAAATCTTGCAAGGTAGGTACTAGATAGTGTATTGGTATGTAATACTGCATTTTCTAGTTGGCCAGCTATCGACCCAGTTTAAAAATTGCATGGATTCTAAATGCCATCACAGGATTCAGAGACGATTTTCTGAAAGCACTGAAGGAACAAGGGACTCCCTCCACCAGAGGATTGTTTATAAACTCATGCTTCGTGCATTGCCAATCTGAGACGCAGGAGACATGGTTTGCATCTGGTTCCCCCATGCTTGAAACCAAAGTAATACTACATCCTTCAACTTCAACACCACTTAACTCAAAATTAAACCAAAGTTACTACTAGAGCCGGCTACTGCTAGAGCCAGCTATCTAATGATGATCTGACAAGAGCTCTTCACACTTGTGTAGACAATAGCGGATGCAGTTGGAGATTGGTTCTACGACCGCAATCCGTTTCAGAAGATTGATTGCCCTTACCCTTGCGATTCAACCTGCCACAACCGAATCTACGACGACCCCTCAGAAGCATAGCAATTACAGAAACCTCACCTCGTACTACCATTCATCACATTGTTATATTTGATGCACCCTTATTGCTCGCAATAGGGCAATCCGTGGGCAACCATTGATTTTCAGGAATAACTGCAGATGATGGCTTAAAGCTCATCTGATGCCTGGAGGCTGGATGCAGCTTCCAACAGTAGTTACAGGTGTCTCCAACATTTGATTCGCTTTGTCGGCAATATTTTGCCATATCTTCGATAATCATCGACAAAGTCCACATTAATGTTACTGAAGTGACATTGGACGAACACGAAACACGAAAAGTTTATCTGGTGAGGGGATGGATAATGCTATTTTCTCGAAATTAGCTCAAAATTCAAGTACGTTCAGTGAGATTTTCGAAATCAAAGTGGAGCCTAACCAAACTGCGCTCTGTTAACCTGTCAACGGCGCCTCGCCGCCGCCGTTGCGCGTCCCCGCCGGCCATCGATGAAGAGCTCCGGCGTGAGATCCCCCGTATCTCCACCGCATATCACCACGTCTGCACGTCAACGAGTGCCAGATCCATTTCTGCCCTCGTCGGCGTGACGAACGACGGCGGACGTACGGGCGGCGCTGATGAGCAGAGCGAGGGATGCAGCACGAGCTCGAGGAGGGGATGATATTTCGTCGATTCATGCACCGATCGGAGTGTGTGAAGGAGCTTCTTCTAGTTGATCTCGATAGACTACGTTCAGATTCTTCGCTCTATCTAGGGTGCAGGCGTGCGGCACTGAAGGAGACAGGAGGTAGAATACTGAACACAAAGATGTCGACTTGCCCGATGCCTCCTAACACAGTGCCACACTTGCACAATCAGAGGAGGGGAGATGCATGATAAATGGAGCACACACATGTTTTTCCTCCGAGGGAAAATATCACTCGCTCTCTCGCTTTGCAAGGCTGCCAGTTTATATATCTAGCGGTGTACCTACTGGGAGTAAATAGGTGTCAGCGAAGCATCTTGTCTTTAATTTGGATCAATCACACAGTAGTGGTCTGATCTGATCCTTTTAATGACACGGTATTATTACTGGGCGGATTGTAGCGTTTGTTTTTTTCCCCTAGCGACAAGGGCTTTTAACAAATCTTCAACGTTTTGAAGCATTTGTACTGGTCTGGTTTGATTTGATCTGTCTAAATCGTCAGAAGTCACATGAAAAGCATGGCATTCTGAAAGTAGGGGCTGCTCAACTTCTTTTTCCCGCTGGGTTTTTGCAGCAGGCAGAAGCCTCCGCTCGATGTATAACAAATAAACCAAAAACGAAAAGAAGAAACCAACAGAGAATGCTACAATTACAGACCCATACCATACAGTTCTATGAGCCGGAGCATTGCGAAGGGATCAATTAGAGGAATGCAACAAACTGCAAAATCAACAGCCCGTAAGCAATGCAACCAAGAGTTGCAAATACAAACTACTAATGCAACCAATTGAATGGCATTCCTCCAGATCCATACTAGAAAATCCTTCCAAAATCCTTTCCTGCAAAGGAAGACGGCAGTCCGCCTGCTGTAAAAGAGTGACCAGGCCTTCCTCCTGCACAACATTCAGAATTATGTTTCAGACATAAATATGCATACCTTCTATGGTTTCCAAATGCATGCACCGATTGAAATGACTTTTAAGCTATAATAGGTTAATAAAGATAAGGCACTCGTGAAAAAAAAATGGAAGATCCAATTGGAAAGCAAACTATATCAACAGGACATACATATCTCATGCATGAAGGTTACACCTTTTCTTTTGGCCATTGCAGTCCCATGTGCAATTACAAGCCTAGACCAAACATGTTTCAATATACTATTAAACAAAATTTGCCAATAAACTATGTGTACTGCAAGGCCATTGTTCTGAAAATTAATACCAAGATTGCAAGTTTTCAGTAGCACATTTAGTTAAGTTGGATACCTCAAAAAAAAATTAGTTAAGTTGGACTAGAAGGCCATGCCACATAAAAAAAGAGGACCACAGATGGTAGTAAATCTAGTGCTACGATAGCTTTTGCAGAGTCAATGGCTATACCAACAACACCCAATTAAATAAAACATACAAATGACAACATGGAAATATTACCCCAAGGCATTCCGTCAGCCATAGTAGCAGGTGGAGGTTCTGCCATGCCATAATTAGGCCATACAGGCTGACCATTGTGATGATTCCCCATTGGACGTAGGTAGCTCGCAGTCATATGGTTATACCGCTGAAATGGTTGTCCATGGCGACTTTGAAAATTCAGCTGAGAATAGTTTGCATTATGGTAACCATCATAGGTCACATGGCCTGTAGAGGCACTACTCTCTGTAAGAGTTGATGCATGGAACAGGCGGTCACCTCTATAGGAAAAGCATGAACAATGATCAGTTAATAATACTAAATATAACAATATGGAACCCCTGACAATATAGCACCACCCAAGAAAATTCAAAATATTTTCAGTGGTATTACTCTCAATAAAGCAACACATAGAAAACAAGATTCGTGTAAAAGAAGCACCTCCCTTATCCAGTTATCCCTTAAGATGTTTATTGTCATGAAACAAACTGTTGCACTGAGAGGCATTACATTTTACACCCCACAGCGTCTAATAAACGTGTATGAAAGCTCTTTCGATTCTTTGTACACATGCCATCCAAAATGACAATCATACCCTTACATATGTATATAATCAAATCCATTTGTTAGCACATTACAATTTTAGCATTTGTAAAAATGGTGAATAATTAAGCAGAAACCAGCAGCACAGCACAAGGTGGGAAAAGTGAAGTATGCTTTTTTTTTCCTAAAGATATGAGCGAACTATACAGAGAGCAAATCATTGTAGTTGGATTGTAAGCAATCTATCAGATGAGGGGTGCCTCTATTATATTAGCTTTTTATGCGTCGGCCAAATGTCATTACATGAACAAATTAGAAAACACTTAAGTACCTTTGATTCATGGATAAAGAGTTTGAGTTTGCAATAGCATGGCTTTGGATATGGGCCAATCTGCTGGATTGGTTTGTTTGACCACTTGCATCCTTCAGGTGGAGATCGCTCAACGCATCTGATAGTGAAGTGTCCTCTTGCAGAAGTGACTCTTCGCTGCACATCAAAACAAAGTGAAAAAGATCAACACATGTTACATTACAAAGACAAAACTGTATGATGCACTGTTACCTATAGTTTGGATCCCAATCAGCTGGATCCGGTATTGATGAGGTGGAAGCCAGTGTATCTGCTGACACATTGGATGAGTGCGTAGGAGGAAAACCACCGTATCGAGATGGTGGAAAGGACCCATGGTTCGAAGTGTCTGTTGATAAACCACTGCCAGCGCATGTATGTGGTCTCCAACTGAAATGACCAGGATTAGGGAGTGCACTTTGTGGGTAACCAGAATGTCCACGAGCATAGCCATCAAAGTGATTACTAATGGTGCCATCCCCATGGTGTCCCTGAGTCAGCTGAGATGTGTATTCATGAGGCGGCATTGATATAGGTGGGTGACCAAGATTTCTTCTTCTATTGTATTGGCCTACAGCAGCAGCTTTTCCCAATGAGCCATGACTGCTCCTTGCAGGAGAAGTGGAACCATACTTTCCTGTAGCAGTACTTGGGATTTGCATCTGAGAATTTGGTGGAGTAAATTGTGATGGACTTGCCCCAAGAGACATAGGCCCTGGACACCCAGGGCTTAATCGAATGCCACCACCATGATAGAGATAAGATCGTCGTCTAATATCTGGACTAGATCCCAAAAATGTTCCTCCGGCTTGTGAATGTAAATTGAATCCAGAAGGGCCTAGTGGTGAATGATACATGTTCACACTGTTGACATCATAGCTTCCATAGCTGCTTGCAAGACCTACATTGTCATTAAAGCTACCATGGCTACCGAAGCTGCCACAGCTGCTTCCATATGAAAAGGGAATCTTTGGTGCAAAAGCGTTATTAAATGGTAGGCCTCTGTTAATGCTTCCAACCTACAAACATAATCAACAATATATTATGATAATAATTATCTTACAACTCACCAACTTAACAAAAGCATAAGAGAACATACTTACAACCTGAGGGGAAAGACCAGCAGCTAACCAGTGACCTCCTCCAGGATTATGATCAACTGCTGCAACACGACCAACAGGCTACAATGGCACAACACAACAAGACATAAGTATATGACTTACGGACTACTTGTATGAAAAAAAGGGAGCGCTTAAGGTACAAGTATTTTAAGGTTTCTCCACATTGTCTACTCCCTCTGATTTCAGATATGTCACCATTGACTAGTGCAATTATAATTTTGACCACAACAAATTTTGAATGGTGGAGCATGACGCACAAAAGTTTTGTGATATTTAGGGTGCAACACACTTCGTTAATATGACATACTTTTAAGTATTTGTTTTTTTCAAAAAAGACGAGCTGTCAAAGTTTGAAGATGAATAGTACCTAGTGACAAGTATTTGAAGACAGAGGGAGTAGTATATAGCAATATATAGTCTGTTGGTGGGAAGAAACACTGTTTCATGTATCCATGTTTGTTATAATGTGAAAGGAAGATATCTAAATACCTCGTTCAATTAAATGCAGAGCAAAACCAAAGTCAATTGTTACAAATGATGGTCGTTCCGTATCAACAGTCTCTAAGGAGAGAAAAATTATACAGCAGGTTGTCTGGAAACAAGATCATACTTACAATTCTTGGAGTCTCCTGGATAGGCTCATATGGACCAGTAAACGCTTCACCAGTTATGAAGGGATGATATGAAGCCTGAAATAGGTTCATAATTGTGAAGTACTTCCATTGATTATTCAAGAAGAAAAAAAAATAGCGCAATAGGAAATCAAGTTAATAATTTCCTAAGTACCAAACTGACCTGCCTAAAGCTCATTTATTTAACGGCTACGAAACAAGGATTCCCCAGCATATTCAGATATTGGGATTAATAAGACTTCCCATTCACAATCAAAGAGTACAACCAAATAGGAATCAAATGTTATCATCAGTGAATACCTGCAATGGTGACCACCGCTTATTAGGATCAAACTCAACAAGCCCTCTCAAGAAATCAACCAGTGCTAAGCGATCTGTCTTTTCTGTCTCTGAATCAAAATTGAAATAGGTGAGAAGATAATGTCAAACCTGCAACTTCATCATAAGGACTAGGATATTATCATTCAAGAGACTAATACTAAGAAATAATTCTAAGTTCACCAGTATTATTAGTATCTTGCATGATTCTGGTATGTGCCAGCATTGCTAACCTATTGTTCATACACCTGTTTAATAAAGAACTGCAACCGGAAATAAGGTATAGTTAACTAGGTTGATCATTTC